TGTCCCATTCTTTCATATATAACCTTAATGTTATGGCACAGTTTTTAAAATGTGCCACCAGAAATCAACTAATTTAACTCTAGATTTTGGTGGCACAAACATTACTTGCTCAGGGGACCAAATGGCACATTGGGAGGCTGTCTGGACCCATGGTAGGACCGAAAAATAGGATAATTAAAAAACAGTTACATTTAAAGAAAAGTCAACCCTATATCTAACGTTTCAAGATAATCCAAAATTGGGACGTTAAAATGTGTCAATCCCAAAGACACAGGATGACTTGTACAAGAATCTGAAATTAACGAGTCTTGCACAGGAGCCTTAATGACATTCTAAAAGATTCCTCTATATTATAAAATGGTCTGATCCATATAATGCTATTGTGTGGATATGGTCACAATACCACTTCCCTTTGACTAGCTCTTCTGCCATACTACTAATATAGAAATTCTATAAAGAGGTCAAGAAATCTACTTTTGAAAGCTGTCAAATTCTATTAAAGAACACATCTGTTATTTTTAAGAGTTATTTCCCTGGTCACTTTTATTTGTTGTTTCTTCTGCCATGTAATTAATATTTTTACGAATTGGACGAAGCAAATTTAACCTCCACCAATAGGTGCTACCACATGTATAGCATTTCAATTTGCAGCATCTCTAGTTAGCATACCCAATAATGAAATGAGATGGATGTTGTAATCCAATGACATAAAGGCTATCAAAATGATAAACCAGAATATGTAGGCATTTCAAATACTTATGTGAACTAAATGTTAGCATGGAGTATGCCTATGTGAGGGTCTATGAGACCAAATTCAAAGGAACAACTTGATGGTAGCAGCTAAATAAGGTAACTTTAATCAAACTCATCAAATTTGTGAGTTGGTGAAAACCGATTCTGATCCTAGAAATCATATATTCTTCTGTTATGCATTTACCCCGACCAGTACTCTGGAAAGTGGCATCAGAAGGTTCAGTCTCGAACTAAGAAACACCTAGTTGTGGGTAAAGTGTTTTGCAAACTGATTGTTTTACTAGAAGCACACAACTGTCTATTAGGGCTAGTCCAAGTGATGTGTGGTTAAAGGCAAGACTGACTGCATCTCCAGGGTGACAGATGTGGTATGTTAAAAGTACATGTATTACCAACTAAATGATCAAGCTGTACAATTCTGAGAGCTGAAGTCCCTGCCAAATGATTGTGCTGCACAATTCTAAAAATTGAAGTAAATACATGCAGGGAAGGTGATTCAGATGGGTCAATGTAGATTACCTATATCAAAAAAGTTACATGTAAAAAAAATATTTTTAGGACATCAAGCATAAAATGTGTCATGGGTCATCAATGGGTCATCTCATGATCCATTCAGTTGAAAATGATACTACTAAAAAAAGGAGTTTGTATACAAAACTTCCTTACTGGCAGAAGTCTCTGATCTAAGAGAAAGGGGAGTTTGTTTGTGGAAATCCATAACAAATAAACCTTAGTAATGAAAGCAATAAAAAAGTTCACATCTATACAATGCTGTACTGCTTTGATTTAATATATTTTTTGGAGTTTTGAATTCACTAGGTCTGCCCAATGTTTAAAAATACCTTGTGGGAAACTTTAAGCTGTTTTATAGCATAATCCTATAGAAAGTAATAGATGTTTTCCATTCCCCGTACCCATCCAATGTTTTATGCCAAATCAAAGGTTTATTATGTTTACAAGGCCATCAAACATTATTTGTGTGTACATTGTAATATCCAAGCAAGGTGTATACCATTTCAAAATTAAGACAAAAGTATTGACATGACAGTGGCAGAAAAACAAATATATATATTTTAATTGCTCCACATCTATCTTGCTTTCCAACAAAATAGTTCATTAGATGTGTCTATGATAGACTATATTTTAAAAAGAAAAAATATAGAGGAACAATTCAAATTAAGAAATTTCCAGAATCAAGAATTTCCTGGATCATAATCACAGTTTTTCATCATTCTTTCTTCTTTAAAAATACTTTATCCATTCTTCAAGGCACTGTGATGTTGCAAGTCTTAATTCTAAACATGCATTTCAGAAATAAGCTCTAGTACATATTTTATGGTAAGCAAGTTTGGAATTGAGGCTAAAATCTACAAATAAAATCTAAATATTTAACTTTTAACCGAAATGCAACTAAGTAAGGATTTTCAAAATACAAAGCAAGGCTTGTAGAAAGGCAAATTAACAAGATTTAGAACTGAAAATAATACAATAAATTGTACTATTATTAATATTTACGTTTGCAAAAGATCCTGAACAGTGTTTATTAACAAAATTACATTTCTTGTGCTATACATTTCATGCAACACAGGAAAAATCATTTGATAAACCTTTAAAATCAATCAATTTAGCATCACATTATAGTTACAAATTTAAGTGGTGAAACATGAAAGGCACTGTATAACAATTTTAAGACTACGGCTGAGAAATTTTAAGGAGGTTGTTAAATTTTTTGAAACTGGGAACGTTACACATCCTTCATGTGATGGACTTGAATCCATTCATGCAAGTCTGCAACATCTTTGATCTCAAACATAGCAGCATTCAATATTATTGTGGGTAAGAGTATTAAACATGTATTTAATCAGTCTACTTTAAGTATAAAAAGAAATGCATTAATCCTTCTTTTTTCAGCTTCTCTAGAGCCAAAGCTAGCACTTGAATAGAATTCATCAGTTCTGGCTATGTTTCCAACCAATATAGATCCATGGACATTGTAGGTGTTTAAGCTGTTCTTTCTTTTATCATGATCTCAACACTATATTCATGGCAAGCAGTGTCTTAATCTTCAATATAACTGAAATTCATGAAACTGTCTTTTTCAAGCTTGTGTGCATGTGTGAGAGAGAAAGAAAGTGAATTAACTGCTGGGATTAAGTCGTTATTTAAAATTACTCAGATATTATAATTCCAAAATGAAATTCATCATTGAATTTCTAAAACTTTCTGTTTTTAAAAATAATAATAATAATAGTAAAGTTGGAAGGGACCTTGAAGGTCATCTAGTCCAACCCCCTGCTCAGGCAGGAAACCCTATACCATTTCGGACAAATGGCTGTCCAGTCTCTTCTTAAAACTTCCAGTGTTAGAGCATTCACTGCTTCTGGAGGCAGGTTGTTCCACTGGTTAATTGTTCTCACTGTCAGGAAGTTTCTCCTTAGTTCTAGATTGCTTCTCTCCTTGATTAGTTTCCACCTGTTGCTTCTTGTCCTGCTTCCAGGCGCTTTGGAAAATAGCTTGACTCCCTCTTCTTTATGGCAGCCCCTGAGATATTGGAACAGTGCTATCATGTCCCCCCTCGTCCTTCTCTTCATTAAACTAGACATACCCAATTCCAGCAGCTGTTCCTTATATGCTTTAGCCTCCAGTCCCCTAATCATCTTTGTTGCTCTTCTCTGTACTCTTTCTAGAGTCTCAACATCTTTTTTACATCATGGTGACCAAAACTGGATGCAGTATTCCAAGTGTGGCCTTACCAAGGCATTGTAAAGAGGTATTAACACTTCACGTGATCTTGATTCTATCCCTCTGTTAATGCAGCCTACATAAATACAATATTTATGTATTTCTTAGATCCTGAACTGCCAATAACCATATTTCATATAAAGACCAAATACCTTAATTAAAAAGCATCTATGAGTGAAATCCTTCCTTTTTTTACTTAAAGCATCTCTCACTAAGAGATCCATGACAGAAACTGCCTGCAAGTTGTCATCAGCTTCTCCAAGCTTCTTATAATGGGTAAAGGGACTACTTTACTTACGTCCAGGAACTTCTGGCTGCCCAGTGAATTGTTTTATCTTTTTCCCTTAAAAAGTAGACCTCCCACCACATCACACTGCTTTGCCCTACTGCGTTTTATGGAGAAATTATATATTATCGTCTTCTACTTGTAAACCTCCATGTTTTTTCCTCAGTTTCTCTTTTTTTTTTGAGCATAGAAATTTTATTAAGGAAAGATGGAACAGTCACACAATATCTTTTGATTAGTACCATTAGAAACATCTATGTGGAAGCACAGTTTCAAAGAAAAGAATTCTGCTTTTCAAAATCACATATCCAAAGCTCCCTTGTGCAAATCTTTGGATCCTGTGCTTTCAAGCTGGCAAATGAGGAATCAGAAAATTGAAAAGTGCTCAGTGCTTACACTGGGTCCTATTTCATTAAGATCCAAAGAAGGCACACAATGAATAATCCTGCATCATAGATACGTTAAACTGAAGACACCATCCCAGTAATTTTTAAGAGGTGAGACCTACAATCTGGTCAAACAAGTTTTACGGCTTTTGAAATAATACAAAAGCCTATTTATCAAGAGTGAAAGTTATGTATCTTTACACCATAAATGGTAATTCTCTTTCAAAACAATTTCAGCTCGCTGGAAAAAAATATTATGTTTAAAACAGACACCACAGAGAATCTCATAAGTAATCAGTATCTAGCTTCTCTTGCATAGCAACTCTTCAGATGTACACTGTCCGAAATGTTAAATCACCAAGAATGGAAAAAAAATACTACTACTATTGCAAACCTACAATATTTCTCTCCTATTATTGAGCTTCCTTTTGCCATTTAATCATTCTTCTTTCCGCCTCTAGATCTTCTTGATAGATCATCTACAACACAGAGCATAACACTACTAGAAGAAAATAAAACAATCAGAGAATTTCATACAAATAAAGGATTTACATAAAAGTTGCATGTTAACCAAAATAAGAATAGGTGAGAGAATCCTAAATGTTTCAAGATAAAGACTAGTGGTTTCTGTCTTCTGTATCTGGTGCTTAAAAAAATCAGTAATATTAAATGAAAATGTGAATGTTTATACTTCTTCACAGCATTTTGTGCATTTTTTTAACAGGAATGTTAATCTGAAATACAAAAGCTTGTAATTTTTGTAAGAGTCTCTTAGCTGTACGAAAACAACAATCTTATTGTACGTTGACATTCAGCTGAGCTTCAATTCTACATTAAGATTCTAATAAAGAGTGCCACCTACATATTTGTTGTCCTTTTGATTCTTTCATCTCAGTCCAGTGGTTCAGCTCCTCTTCACCAGAACTGTTCAAACCTAAAGAAATCCAGCCTATCATTTCCTTTCGCTTCATGCTGCGTTTGTTATACACAGATAATATAAGCGTAACATCAGAAAGCTGAAAGAGTGCCACTTGAAAAATAAAGGTCTCCTTGTAGACTGGATTTGGCTGCCCTCTTCGGATGGATGTCTTGCATTTGGACATCTCTTGACCCATGGAATTCAGCAATGTCAGCTTAACAAATGTATCTACAAAATAGACAATTTGATACATGAGTTGTATTGGAAAAACTATTTCACCTAATATATCAGACTATCTTTAAGATTATGGTGTATACCATGTTGGATTTGAACAATTGACTAAACCTAATAATATGACAGAGAAAAGTATTTCATTGTGACTTTTACTTAATTGTACTTATTCTCTCATAGTAAATTGAACTAGAGGTATACCTCATAATCCTACTATTATCCCTTGCTCATTTGCACCAAGCAGACACATATAGCATTAACACTTAGCAAGCTACAACTGGCACAGCACTGTAAAGCATATCACAGTTTTTAGATCATATAAATAGGTGTATAATGACATGAAAAAAGAAATCACATGTAAAAGAATGGGATTGGAGTGCAGTGATAATATCACATGATGTTCATGATGAAATGTTTGCTTAAAAATCTCTCTGCATGGATGTGGTTTCTCGTCAAGATTTTTATTGGACTTCGTACAATTAAAGTGCCAAAATATAAAATTACCCACATAAAAGTTTATATTTACTCATATGAATAAAGCCATGCATGATTTTTGCATGCAGATATGTGGCGCAATAAGTAATTAGTACATAATTCTTTTGTACTAATTTTAATGAATAGCATGTCATACCATACTATTCAAGTATAAAATCTTTGCAATTTTTTTGTATAGGAAGCAGTATAAAATAAATTTAATAAATATGATAGTTAAAATATTCAGAGTACAATAAAAAAATCCTAGATGCACAGAGGATACATTCCATACCCACAGAGGAAAAGGAAGCAAACCCCCCCTCTCTCTGAAGCTCCATGTGTGCACTGGAGCTACTAGACCGTGAATATGAATTCAGTGAAATAGCATTGATATTCAAAACTTTAATTGTTACTGTTGTGTGGAAACACTTTGCCTGGGAAAATGCAGTCATAATTATTGAATTGAGTATGTACATCAATTTGTTTGTATTTAAAAACAGAAAGATTTTCTGTCTTTTATTTATTTTGGTAAATGCATGAATTTGAATTTTTTAAGAAAGAAATTTGGATTGTTTAGAAAAAGAAATGCAATAATGAAATTAAATGTCCAGACATTTATTCACATGTTTATTTTATAAATCTTTGAAATACCACCATCCATAGTCAGAGATCAGCTCTGTCTCCATTATAATAGTGAAATAATTATTGTACATCATCAGAAACCAACATGGTAGAAAGTGGTGGAGAGCTTTGAAGCTGGCAGATTTCTTTTGCATGAAAAAGACAACATCTAATTAGCCTCCACAGGAACTCACCTCGTATTATATAAACCTGTCCACCTATCAAGTGTTTTAGACAACAGAACAGTCCATCTGACAACGGGGGTGGGGTGGAAAGCAGTAAAAGAAATAATGACCAGATGTCAATAGTTGGGTGACACAGGATAAAAGGTTAAAGTTTAAGAGGAAACACTATTCACCAGAGTGAAAGAAAATAGCATCTTAGCAAATCAGTTTTAGAGAAAAGGATCAAGCAAAAGGATGGGCAGGTAGATTAATGAATGAATTTTGTTATGTTCACTGTGTAATCTTTAACAAAAAAAATTACACGGTTTCAAATAATGTAGTATCTTAATAGTAATTTCTGTTGGGTTTAAAACACAAGCGCATAGAGATTCATGCAAAAGATCAGGCTACACACTAGAAATCAAACATATTCTTTAGCAGACCTTCCTCTTTTTCATGCAAACTCCAGCTTTCTAAGTAAGGATTAATTAAATGAACTCAGACTAGGGAAGATCAATAGAATTACAAAATTACAATAAAATAAATGATTGTTGAAAGGCATTCTGTGTGTACTGTAAACAAAATAATGAAATCTGATAAAATTAACTTAGCTGGCTACTTTATTCATTTAATGCTACTTTGCTGCATCTTCCATCTGAGAAAATGATTTAGGCTAAAATGCAAGTTTATTAGATCAAAGTTTAAAAAAATAATTCAAAGCTACATGGTTTCTTCAGTGCACATAGAGAGCTTCCCATAAGTTCAAATTTCCCATTCAAATTGTAACATTGGGATAGCACTAAATAAACAATAATTAATAAACAGACTGTGCCCTATGTGCACAAGATTCCCTAACCTATAGTGTGAGTCCACATGGAATGGAAAATAAACAAAACAAGCATTTTTTTAGTACTATCAAGAATATCAAAATAGGTTTTAATTGGTTTTGCAACAAAGATCATTTTCTGCTTTCATCTAAAAATGGTGTGGACATTCCTCACCACTCTCTCTTCTCTGCCATGTCATCTTTTGCTGGTTTTGGCATTAAACTAGTATTTTAAGCAGCCAACAGGAAATTTTACTACAGTCACAGTCTGATATACTTTAAGAATCCTTTTGTCAGTTGTGCTGTCAGATAACTTCTAGGAGTTCTATCAATTCAGGATCTATTGGCCGTTTAAGATGGGTACATGTACACTTTTGTGGGTCCTAGGCACTGTACTCCAGGGCCATACAGCTTTGAGCAACAATAAGTTCTGCATTGTTGATGTTTTTAATGCCACTATATTTTCCCTCTGTACATGCTCTACGTATCTCTCTGACTCAAGGAATTTGGACTGGCCTGAATACTAGTTGACCAGGCATGCCTGTATGGTGAAGCAGAAAAGAGAGAGATAATTTATTTCAGACACTTCTGATACAATTCTTCTCTCACTAAGCCTGTCTACTGTTGTTTAGACTGCTTCTAAACACAGATTTTCAGCATCTCCAGAAATTCTGTGAGTTGAAGTCCACAAGTCATAAAAGGGCCAAGTTTGAAGACCCCTGTGTTATACTTTTGTATGTCTTCTAGACACCTATCTGCAATCTAGCATGTAAGAGACATTCAGAAATTCTAAGGAACTTTTCATTAGAAATAAGGAGTGTAAGAAACAGGAAGCATCTTCTGCAAATTCTGTACTTGGCAGACTCAACAAGATTTTTAAAAATGTAGTAATAACTATGGAGGAGAGATTTTCATTAGGACCATAATGCTTCCATTAATAACCTGAATAGAAATTGATCCCTACTCTGCAATAATTTCTAAGTGGGGGAGAGGTGAACCATGAGTGCAAATGAGGACTTCCTTATGCTAAGTAATTTTAGCATGATAAATTTTGGGTTTTGATCATGGCTGGGAAATGAGATATTTGGACTTCCTTCTTTATTAATTCTGGCTGAGATGAAAAATGGGCTTCTCCACACTAACATTAAATGTAATGATGTTGCTAACCATATAATTTGAACAACATCTAGAGTGATCAAAAAAGCAGAAGTGATTAACAAATAACTAAAACGTTATTACATCTGAGCAATATAAGCATAACATCAGAAAGCTAAAAGAGTGCCACTTTTATACAGGATTTAGCTGCTCTTTATAACAACTTGTTTGAACATTATAGGAACCTTAAAATACAACCATATGTTTCTTTCAATAAATAGCAGCTTGTCATGTTCATATCATTTCATGTATATTTATTAGTATAATTTTCTTGGTCCTTTACTATAGATTAAAAATAAATTATTTAATTATTTGTTGTCAAACGGAATAAGCAATAGTTAACAGATATCAACATTATACGGGCATCATGTCAAGTGCTCCCTTTGGTCTCATTGCGTTTCTGAGAAGGGACCTGGTCATCTGAAAAATGCCTATCTGCAGGCATGATAAAAACTGTGATGTATCTTTTCTGTGGCTGCCTTCTGTGACTGAACAGCCTTCCCTCTGAGATTCAGACGGCCCCTACCCTATTATTCTTCCAGAGGGCTATGAAGACCTGGCTCTTCAGCCAGGCTTTTGACTAGGGGGTAGATGGAACCCCGGGAAATCAAAGGACATGAAGAGTATGAAGAGTTTATATGATATTGCCATAGGCTAATCGTGTATATTATAGGACTTGGTTAGTTTTATTTATATTATTTTTATTTAATATTCTTGTAAGTACCTAGGATTATATTATTATATGAGATATAAGAAGCCATATAAGTTTCCTAAATAAATATTGGTCTTGTTTAATTGTACTTTTTTAATGAACTTTTGTAGACATAGCTAGACAGTTTTGTAGTTTTATAGACTTTTGTAGGAACTGGATTTGGGTCTAGATTTCAGATGTACTTCTGATTCCGTTTTGCAGAATCTAGTCATTAGAAATGTACAAAAAGTTAAATCAATTATGCCAATTGTAAATATATTTGTATTTAGCTGAGACCATCTTACTACATTATTTAATTTTATTCTTGAAAAATATACACCACACAAATATACATGACCATCATGCATATTTACTTGGAATGAAGAATAAATACTACTTTTAATCACCACAGATAATATCAAATGTATATTACGACACGCTGATATCAAATTATCATAGATTTATAACATATTATTTTAGTATTATTAACCACAGAGATGGCAACCCATCTACATAAACGTTTATCAAAACACAATTTTTAAAATACATTATAATTTTCTATAATGGCTTTGTTATGTGAGACATTAATAGTTTAGTAGTTAATCATTAAGATAAAGGCAATTTATTAGCCAGCCAATCATAAAAAATTAAAAGGATCTTGTTGAATCGCAACCAATATTTAGAATTTTAGATTACTGCCATTTCCCCAATGAAAACATGAAACAGATTAGTTGATTATTATACTATTTCAGTTTGACTGGGTAAGGCTAAATGATAGTCCCTACCAGTGAAATCCCCCCAAGTGCAGAAGTATTAAGATGAAATAATATATATATTCTACTCACTGGGTGGTCTGTTTGCTGCCAAGTTTTTGAAGTGGCTGCCTTTTATCACTTCTGCTGCTAGTCTTCCAGTTGTGGCATTATAAAGCAATCCGATGAGGATTTCGGGAGCTGAGCCATGTGCCAAAGATTGACAAGAGGAGATACTTTCACTGCAGGATGCCTCTGACATGCTCATTTGGGACTCACAGCCCTAGAAGCAAAAACAGTGTTTGCAACCATTTTAAGTCATCACAATAGTGAAGAATCTGCTCCTAGTATTAATTTCCAGAATCTTTCATTCCTAATGGTGCATAACGTAATGAAAATACATAAATAAATGAATGAATATGGGGAACCTATAAGCCATATTTATAGCATTAAATGCAAACTAAATCTCCACTGTTTGTCACATCTTATGCCAAAGTAAGATGCATCACAAAGACTTACAGAATTATTGGCAAATGCTCTTTGAATAGAAATGAATTTATCTGCTTATTTGTTTGTTTACTGGGCTTAAAGATATATAATCATAATAGATTCTGAGTGGTGGCATACAAATCTAATAATCAGATTTAAAATAAATAAAATATATAAAGTATATAACTGAAAATATCTACTATTAACAGACCTTTGCAAAGAGGCATTTCTCTTTAGGGGAAACCAAAATAACATATCAAGTCACAAAGACACATTATAATAAAAAAAATAGGCCAGAAGCGGGAATCCACAGCATCATGACCACTGGATATCTGCTAATTTGTACACATACAACAGCATATGAAATTAAATTATAGTTTGTGTTAAACTAGGCATTTTTTTCACAAACAAGAGAAGCCCTGATTTTTGTCTGTTTGGTTTTCGTTTTATTAACAACATCCATTCAAATACAGAATAGTGAGAAAGAAGGAAGGAAGGAAGGAAGGAAGGAAGGAAGGAAGGAAAGAAAGAAAGAAAGAAAGAAAGAAAGAAAGAAAGAAAGAAAGAAAGAAAGAAAGAGGGAGGGAGGGAGGGAGGGAAGAAGAGAGGAACCATGAGGAAGGAATGGAGAGAGGAAAAAAAGGAGGTAAGGATAGACAGGAAGGAGGGAGGGAGATTTTTGAAGCTCCCTGCCAACTTCTCACAAGGAAAGTCAATGGGGAATTTGGAAATTGCTCCCACTCCCACTGCTTTTTTTCCTTCCTGCAGTCATTCTGTTTCTCTGTTTAGGTAAGGAAATGGCTTTGAAAAATATCCTAATGGGACACGAGTTACCTAATCCAATTTATAACCCGGGCATTTCCTGGCGGTTCTAACTATATCCAACATCATTTTGCTACCCTGCGCCCTCCCTACCCCCCAACATCAGTCATGTTTGACAATGTGATGCTCCTGGTTGTGAGAAATAGTGCTTCTAGCTGTTGTTAAATACATAAAAGAAATCAGAGAATACCATCAATAAGATGTCTCTCTATACAGTTCTCTTCTATTGTTATCTGCCTGCCTTCTTGAAGTTCTCTTTCAGCTGATTTCAATGTGTTTGACTCAATAGTAAAGAGTCTTCAGGACATGCTATCGGTCTTCCTCAGGCTTCCAACCAAAAGAGTAAAGAGCACATGATGTAGGTATAGCCATCTCTTTAGATATTCCCTTGACTATCAGGAAACAATGAAATTATTATATACAAACCTCACCAGCCCCATACAAGACTACTTAAAGTAAAATCAAAAGTAAAGTTAAAAAAAGCATAATTTTTTAACTGAGTATAACCAGGAGACTGAAACATTTCAATATTATTATGTACAGACTTAATTTATTATTCCAGAGTCTATAAAGCTATATCAAATTTTCTTTCTGAAAGCGTAAGTGATATTGAAAATACATACTTAGACAAATTATTCTACAGACAAAAGCATCACACTATTCTTAGATTGGTTTTATTCCCAAACTTAAACTATTAATGTATGTTGAAAATGAAATGACAAACAGAATTGCTATACTGCAGTAAATCAATGTTCCAACTTCCTTAATAAACATTTGACGAGGTAACAATAGGACCCATGTGCTACTTTTCTCATTTGATACTTGATCTATGATATTTTTATAAGATTTCCAATAAAACTTACATAGTATGTCATAGTGAGATAAAAATTAAGAAGATGAATTATTTAATCTCTCCGGAATATGTGACAAGGCAGTGAAATTATTGCTTAACTATTTTTTTATATATTGATGCCTGACAGATAGATGTCTATCATATGTTGCAACTTTCACTTATAAGTCACAGAAAACTTTCCAAGTCAGTGCCTGCCCTCCCATAAGGCACATTTTGTATCTCAAACAGGAGACTAGAAAGAGCCCAAACCATCCATTACAGTGAATGCACTCACAACTATCTGTATAGAGCAGGGATGTCAAACTCAATTTCATTGAGGGCCGCATCAGCATTGCAGTTGCCCTGGGGGGGTTGGGGGTGTGTGGCCAGAGTGGGTGCAGCCTACTGGGTGGGCGTGGATGGAGTGGGTGTGGCCTACTGGGTGGGCATGGCCAATTCTACATCATTTGCGTCAAGGGTGCCTATGGGGACCTGGGCAGGAGTGGGATAGATCTGAGGGTCTCTGGCAGAAGGGGGTGGGACCGGGGCAAGTGCCAAGGCATGGTCCACCAAGGCAAATGCCAAGATGGCCACCACAAAATTGTACATTGGCTCCCGGCTGGCCTGGGCCAGGGCCAAGGCAGCGGGGGCCGTTCCCTCATGATTTCCAGGATGACTTCACGGGCCACATGAAACCACTTCGCGGGCCGCATCCGGCCCCCGGGCCTTTTGTTTGACATGTCTGGTATAGAGCATCTACACCCATCTGCTGCATATTGTTCTCAAAGGCAGAAGAGCCTAATATGTCAACTAGGAGGAAGGTTCTCTTGTAGAAGGAAATGGGTAGATCTCTAGATCAGTGTTTCTCAGCCTTGGCAACTTTAAGATATTTAAGCATATTGGCTGGGGGATTCTGAGAGTTGAAATCTACACACAAGTTGCCAAGGCTGAGAAACACTGATCTAAATAGTTCACATGCTCTTTGTATATAAAATGCTGAAGCTGGACAATAGCCAGCGTGTCTCTGTAGACTGGTCAGTGAGGAAGAAAGCAGGTCTACTTTTCAGAATATCTAACAGATGTCTTGTTTTGAAGGACCTTTCCTCAAAACGAAATACTATGGTCGAGAAGGCTGGCATATTGTCTATGCCAGAGGTTCTCAACCTGTGGCCCCTGGAACCCTGGGAGGCCATAATGTCATCACAGGGGGTCCACGAAGGCTTGAAGATATGTTATGATTTAAATCTTGAGTTATGTCTTGGTAGTCCGTGGCCATAAAAAGTATTTAATGTAGGTCCGTGGTAAAGAAAAGGTTGAGAACCACCTGGTCTATGCTATAGCAGCACAAATGGTCTGACAATGCTTCATTTTAAGGTAGGGTCCCTACATGCAGAGTACTGAGGGATGGGATTATTTGCAATGTGACCAAGGAAGGAGAAAGCATATGTTTCAGGGAGCAGAGTTTCATGTTCTGGCATTGGAGCTGCCTATTGTTTAAAGGAACACAAACTAGACATTTTTCTAGGCACTAGAAATCCAAGATTTTAGGCAGTCTCAACCCACAGCTAGGTTATAGACTCTGAATATTCATATCAAGGTGGTGAATTTCTTACACATTTTGAGGCAAAATTTAGAGAAAAAAAATCTCAGCAAATTATATTTAAAATATACAGGTGACCAGTTTTTAAAGCTAATATACAGCATTATAAATAAAGAAGATATATAACAATAAGCAATAAAATTGCTGCTGAACTGGAATTGCATGTATAGTGGAGGCACTAGAAGTCCATTGTCCATTAGTCCTTGATAGAATCCTTGATAGAGTCAGTTTGGTGCAGTGATTAACACATCAGGCTAGAATGTGGAGTTAGTCCTGCCTTAGCACAAGATCAGCTAGGTAACCTTGGGCCAATCACTTTCTCTGAGCCCTAGGAAGCAGGCAATGGTAAATTATTTCTGGGGAAAAACTTGCCAAGAAAACTGCAGGAACTAGTCCAGGCAGTCACCAGGAGTCAAAAACTGACTCAAAGGCACACATGTACACAACACACAAACAAGAGTACAATCACTCTATCTGAACATATCAGGTGGGCAGAAACAACTGGATAATTAAGTTCTATGCTATGATCAGCATAGGTGACAACCAACAACCAGCACTTTAAATTGCACTTAGAAGCTGACTGGCAACCAGAGCCATTTGTCTATGAGTTATGACATACAGATATAACAAGATGTGCCTATTATGGATCATGCTGCTACATTTTGAACCAGCTACAACTTCTGGCTGATCTTTAAGGGCAGCCCCACATAGAGCATTTTGTAATAGTCCAATTGCAAAGTAACCAGGATGGAAGTGAAAAATTATTTGAAGATTCCTGGCATTCTTCTCAAATCTTGCTAATATGTATGCTCAATGGCAAATCTACCTTATGCCAAGACCTGCCCTGCATTTTGAACTTCTTAGCTGGGCTACATGATTTAGCATTTGTATAACTAGTCTGAATTTACTTTAGGACCACTGAAAAAGATTTCATCATGGAGTTCTATAGGAACTATGCAAGTGTATATAAGGATCTTTTTATGTCAGTTAAGCACTGTGGAAATGAGTTCAAGACCAGGTAATTCAGAGTGTGCCATATGCTTTCTCCATCATCATGCTGAGAATAGGCGTTCAGGTAAGACAACGCCCTTTCTATTCTAAATGTTAATAGCAAGAACATTAAGCTCACATATCTATTGATACGGGGAATTTAACACATAGTAGAAAACTAGGCTTCATTATTTCCATGCTAATGAAAAGCAGCAATATGTTTAGAAACAGCAGCTCCCAGTTTCATTGATTCATCGGATGCATTTTTGCAACAAAACATTAAATGACTAGAACTATTTAAATAGTCCATATGAAGTATTCAAAGGAGAGTCAAAGAGATGTAAACTCTCTAAACAGAAATATTTAGTCTATTGCATGTTTTCAGATATCCATAGATAGATACGTGGCCACAGATAGATCGATTCCTTTTTCCTTTGAGTGACAGAAAGTTCAGAGATTGAGCAGACTACCACCCAACCCCTGAGCACTCCACAATTAGGGTTATTTGGGCCTGTAGCCCACTAATTGTTCTGCTACTGAAAAAGTTCTCATCACGAATTGCTGTGTAAATGAATACTGTAATCTTGTGTGGGGTTTTTAGGGGAAAATGGGTACCACCCCAGAGCAAGGGTTAGGGAACAAAGAGGAAGAAAGGAAAAATATCACTGTGTCCTTTAAAGGCTGCTGAAGCCATCCCCCTTTACTATGAGATCAAACTCTTCTTTCTTGTCATTGCTCAATTGTTTCCTTATATCTCAATTCTTTGTCCAAAGATGCCTTTGGGACAAAATGAAGCCGAGAAGAAAGAGCAGAGCTAAGACTGAGTTGTAAGGGGCTACCTCCATAGAATGCAGAAGACTTAGCCCTGGGGAAACTGGGTCTTAATTAGAAAATAAATGACTGGAAGAGGTGGACTTCACCCTTTCCTGTTAGCACCATCTTTCATTATTGAGAATAACCTCCAGCTATCCCAGTGGTGGCGAACCTATGGCACTGGTGCCAGAGGCGGCACTCAGAGCCCTCTCTGTGGGCATGTGCGTTGTCGCCCCAGTCCTAGGCCTTCAGCTGGGTTTTATAAAACCTTTTCGCTTTAGGCCTCCGCTGCCTTGTACAAAAAAAAAAAGGTTCAATCAGTCAATTTCAACTTCTTGCGGGGAAAAAAAAGATCTTGCAAAGTTGGAATTGATTGATTGAACTTTTTAGTCCCACCCAGTCTGCTGTTACCACCGCAGCCACGCCCACCCAATGGGCCACACCCACTCGATGGGCCACACCCACCCGGCACCCGACGATGCATAAGTGGGTTTTGGGCTGCAGTTTGGGCATTCGGTCTCTAAAAGGTTCGCCATCACTGAACTATCCTGTCGATAGATGCTTAAACTTGATCAAAAAGGAGAAATTTCCTGACAATGAGAATAATTTATCAGTGGAACGGCTTGCCTCTAGAGGTTGTGGTTGCTTCAACACTGGAAGTTTTTAAGAAGAGATTGGACAACCATTTTTTTTGAAATGGTATAGGGTTTGCTGCCTGAGCAGGAGGTTGGACTAGATGACCTCCAAGGTTCCTTCCAAGTCTGTTATTCTATTATTTCTACTTACATTTTGTCATTCATTAAAAAAAAAGATCCCTGAGGAGGCAATAGCAGTATTCAAAAAGTAACAATATAATATATTGTTATATATTATTATATTATTATCAATATATTATACAATATAGTGAAAAAGAACCAAAACCAGGGCTTTTTTGTCATAAAACACCCAGAACAGAGTTCCGGCACCTTTTTTGGATGGAACCTTGTAGGGTAAGCAAGGCGGGTTGTATGACGTGTGTAAGTTCCGGCACTTTTTTTTTTTTTTTTACAAAAAAAGCACTGACCAAAACCAATCAACAGAAAGGACCAATTAGCAGAAACAAATGATTTAATCACATGTATTGCAGTAGCATCAAATTGATTTAAAAAGTCTGGTAAATACCTATGTTTTAGCCAGGCACAAAAACATCCGTAAGATTAGCATAAGGCATACTTCTAGCAAGCAAACTTTACACTCCTTGAGAACAAGCAATACTCATAACTAGAACACAATAGGAATAAATTTGATCAATGTGCCTTGCACAGTAGTTGGAGGAGGCAAGCTAGTCAGGAAAAAAAGAGACCTCTTGTCTTTGACATCTCAGAGATCACTGAATTCTCATGGCATCCAAACAGCATGATCAGTGATCAGAGATAATGAGAAGTGGTTTTTAGGATACCTTTCCTTGTTCTTACAACTACCCTACAGCAACGCTTAGCTTCAAATTTCTAAGATGTGTTTAACTATATTTACTAGTGGCACCTCTGTTCAGAATCACTTACATGACTGAACATTTATTCTATTTGATTTAATACTTACAGAAATGTTGTATGCTGGTTCTAGAGTCACCGGAACTGACATCTTTCCTTGAAGATTTAACTTGGTTAAGTAAAATATCTTTTCTCCTAAAATTCTTTCTCTTTTTACACGACGAATACTGTACAGTCTAAAGCGTACTGCATAATTCCCAATCATCTCAGACTCAATATGATTAAATTTAAATGTCTCAGTAAAGACAGGGCAAGGACCACGCTGGATGCTGGTTTTTGCCCTCTGTTTCTTGATAGGAAGGAGAACTAGGTGTACTTGCCACAGACTTCCACTTATCTTGCTGTAATTTGGAATATCTGTGACAGCTGTGACTGTTATTAGAAGCCTCTGTTCCTGTGAGTCATAGTCAAAAGTCACATCCAAGGTGCCATATTTAGCTTCTGGTTCTGGATCAAAGGATTTAGGAAGCTGTGATGATGATCCTTGAACTGACAGATCCTAAATGAAACAGAAAAAAGTAGCTTTACGGTCATGCACATGTGTTTAAGTATTTATATTACTACTGATATATATATATGAATGAAAGTAATTTATATAGATATAGATAAATATATGCTTTCATTACAAAGAATTGAAAATAATATCTTTGCTTGCATTATAGGAAGTTTTTGTTTATTTCACATAAGGAGCAATCAAACATTCTATTAAGAACAATATATGCACAGCAACAAAAATATACTTTTATAGATTGCAAAAAAAGTAAAATGGATCATGGGGAAGAGAATATCCAAAGTCTTATTGGATCTTAGAACAGAGGGGAGAATTTAAAGATTTTTAAAAGAGATGTGCCTTAAACCAAAGAAATGTATTAATAAATCATTTATTCTTTAAGTATTGTCTACTAGAAATCTGAAAAAAACATTTTGAGATTGAAATGTTCCAATCCTCAAATATCCAAACTATCCATTATTGGAATGGGTCATTCTGACCATATTAGAATAGGTCTGATTCAAAATAAATTGCTCTCATCTCAATATAATGCATTTCAAGAATTTTGATAGGATCAAAATGCATTCCCACTCCAACCTCAAAACTGGAATGACCTTTCCAATGACAGAATTGAACATTTCGGGTTGTGACACGATAACAAAACATGTACACATCGCTACTAATATATTTACCCATATATTTTATTTCACTGACAATTGTTCACATAGCTTTTGATTTGTGGTGTACATTCTACATTGTTGCAGGGCAGAAACTCTATACCATTTGTTTGATCCTAATAAAGATATGTACTAAGAGATGCAATTTTCTAAGTTAGCATCTTTATTTTGTATTTTAAAGTTAGAATGAGAGCTTCTTGATTTTTGGTTAACTTGTAGAATTTGGATTATCATTATTTATAAAATTAATTAATATTGTAATTTTTGTGTTCCCATAAAGCCTTATCTAATAGTTCTAGCTGCTGAAAGACAACTAGTTAAGAGGTGCTGGATGACATATTGATGCATTCTACAAATGCATGTTGTGGGAGTTGATTCGCAAAGCAGTTTCAAAACATTTTTTCCTATGAAAATTCACTGATGCAAAACCCCCGCTCAAAGCTCTGTGCAGCCCTGATGATTACTATGTTTTATAATCCATAGTTAGAGCAATCAATGTATTCTGATTCTAAATGACAATATTCCTCTAGTATGGATTCTGAATTTCTCTCATAGTTATCAAAGCTGCAGTGCTGAATTGTAGTTTTTCATTAAAATGCAATAAGGAATAACAAAACACACTGTTTTCAACAAAATTATACTGATTGCAATAACAACAAAATAAATATAAAACAGAAAACTGCATGACAAACTTTGGTCAAATTGTTATTACACAGAAGCAAGGATTCACAATATAACTTTTATGTGAATAATTTTAAAAGGTAAAGATTGTGGTAATCTGAATTAAGTGTCTATGTAGCAGGTAGGAGGGTTTAAATCATGATATTGCATAAATAAACAAAAGTGACAGATTTTGCATAATGTAATGCCATTTTGATACAAATGCTGGATTCTACAAATGTCTCTGAATAGTTGTATGAATAACAACTTGTCCAACTTTCCTTAATTCCTTGAGTCTCTTTTACAAAATATGCATTTAGAGGAAAGGGAAGGAAAATAGGCCTATTTTAAAATGAAATATTGTGGAGTTGATGATATGTTTGTATGTATGTATGTATGTATGTATGCATGCATGCATGCATGCATATATAATAATTTTGCCTGCTCCTCTCAGCCTGTTATGTAAAAGTAAAAGGTAGCGTTTCATCTAATTGAGCTTGAGTCTACATAGATTTTTTTTCTGTCCTCTTGCATAATATGCAACCCAGTAGGACACCACACCTCTCTGACTTGAGCTATTCTCAAAAAGCTAAACGGGGAAGTGGTTCGTCACTGCCTTCTCACAGGATATTTTACAACTTTCAGTCTAGTCTATAAACCTGGATTTTCAGGTCTCTCCTATCCAAGTCTTAACCAAATCAGACCGTGCTTAGCTGTTTGAGAATAGCTCAAGTTAGAGTGGTGTGGTGTCCTACTGGGTTGCAAATTATGCAAGAGGACAGAAATGAGCAACATTTTGGTGGTCAAAGGCAACAATTAACACTTGTAGAGAGGACAGGAATCCAAATAGCATATAGTTAACAAGGTTTTGTTATATTGTTTTTGTTGAAATTGTGATAAATATATAATCTGGCATAAAATTAGAACTTTTATATGTTTCCTATTCCAAAATGGCAAGAAAATGCACCACCAAAAGAGGTAGAACAGTTGGGGATCATAATATGCCTCAAAGTAGGGAAATGTAAGTATTAGCTCAGGAGCTCTACTTATCCTATGGTACATTTGTACAGGGCCTACACCATAATACTTTAATATGGAGACTTTAAGACAGGGGTGTCAAACTGCCGACCTGTGGGCCAGATGCGTCTTGCCGAAACCGCGCCCACTCCATTGCTGGCAATGGAAAAAAACTCATGATACATCGTGACACATCACGTGACGTTGTGAGTTTGACACCCCCGCTCTAAGATTTTGCTATGCAATACAAGCATTGCTCAAACACTGGCCTTCCTTTTGTAAACACAAACTACTTCTGACATCTCTATTAACCTGAGAAAAAGTGTTTAAAGAGGGGTTTTTTTCATTGTTTCTCAGAAAGCACATATGTAGGTCAATGGATACCTGTCAATACATAATAGAAATGTACTTAAAAACTCATACTTCATTTTATGCTAAATAGTTCTGGGAATTTTTTTTTACCTCTGGGCTAAGGACAGCAGTACTATCACTAGGCACATCTTCTTCATATCCTTTGTTATGGAAACTTTCTATTTCATGCCCATTACTTCCTTCACTTGGGCATTTATAAGAACATCTTGGACTGTTGCTGCACTGAGAGAATTCACATTTGCTCTCACCAACTTCGGAAGGTGTACAGGAGAGATGTGGAGAGCCACTATCATCCTGGTATGGTGGAGGCTGCAATTCATCAAGAGGAGGTGTTTGTCTCATTCTTTGAATACAGTCTGCTGTGAAGAAATGACAGCATAGTCTTTCATTTTGTAAGTAATATGACTAGAGGGTAGGCATAGGATTTGTTTAGCTAGACCATATTCAAAGTGGGGTTCTGATCTAAAAAGAAATGCATTGAACTTATTCGATGTAACCTGCTAATGCCTCATAGATCCAGCTGTTTGTTTGCCCGGCTTCCAAAATGGTCCACCTTTGATATTTTTCACTGCTATTAATAGTTTAATTCAACTATATTTTGTCCTTGTATGTGCAATAGAAACCATTATTACATTCTGATATATTTTAACTTTGCCTTGAATAATAGGTTTGCATCTATCAATATGCGTAATGGTTCTTTGACTACTATCATTTAGCTGATGTCCTGATCCTACATTCAGTCACTTTTGATTCTGCAAAGTATACTAAGGATCTTTGTCTTTGTGTTACACTTGTCAAACCCCATAACCAAATTACCATAAATGGTCTTATTTATGCAATTAATTAATTACTTAAATGAGTCAACTAAAACATTTTATCCAATTAAAAACATAACTCTACATAATAAGATACTTTAAAATTTATACTCATTGAACTGGCATTCCACCTTCTATCTATTAAATAAAAGGGCTGCATCTTTTAAAATAAATTGCTTGGTATACACATAAACATGCATATCTAAAAAAAGAAAGCATGTAATTTTTTTCAAAATCAGTTTCTCATCATATGCACATTAACGAAGATATGATTAATTCTTCAATTTAACATTCACAAAACTCAAATAATCTTACAGTAATTTATAGTTTGTGAATCAGTGGAGTACCATAATATAGTTTAAAGCAGGAGAGATAGAAGGTACTCTAAGAAGAAATAATCAAACAGATCTATAAGGAGAAATCCATTTGAGAATGCAGAACATTTACCATTCTCCTACCCATTTACCAGTAAACAATTTTTTTTAAAAAAATCATTAGCTAGGATTTATATAATGAAAGTTTCAACTAAAATGTTTTAGAATTTTTAGTTTTTAAAAATATATGTACTGTCAACAAGAACTGATTCCTGGGGCTGGCCCAGCCCAACACTAGGTTTATTCACTTGATGTGAGTAGCCAATGAAATACATACAAGTACAATAACCCAAATCCCGTTTTTATTCTGTTCAAAAGAACAGAGATGCATTGGAGCAGGTGCCACAAAGCAAGTGTGTAGGTTTGCAATTTGACAGCATACTTATACAATTTTAGACAAAGAAGGTATACAGCTTTGATTATTATTAATGCAAATAGATAAGTCCCTGCTTAACATCAGTCGGCAGATAATATAAGTATCTTTTCATTATCTAAGTTCTCCACCTCTGGGTGTGACCTTTATTGTTCATTTACTAATGATGAACTTTCATGACCTTGGCACTTTCCAGCACTTTCTGCCTATTTGACTCAAGCACTTGCAGTTTTAACTGTCATTCTAAAAGAGGGTTAAACTTTTCAAAAGGGCTTCAAATTATTCCGTCATTGGCATTTACAAATATTAGCCCTTTCTAAAATTTGCCTGAGATAATACTCCAGAAGAAGTCTACTCTTTGGAGGGAAAAAAAAGAGTTGGAGAAACTATTAATGCTACTAGCCAATTTCAGTGGGTTGTGAACAAGTTTTTATTTATTTATTTATTTTATATAATATTTTATTGATTTTCTAATTTTACAATTAAGCATTTAAAAAGCAACATGGTGACTGAGTAATCAATGATTCCATAACATATATAAATCTTTAGCAAAAATCTCAAGTTACAACATCAGATATTTCCTCTCTTTATCCCTTAATATCTACTATCTCATATTGAATTAATATAATTCTTATTTGTTATCAACTAAGTAAAACCATCTTTGTTACATATATCAATAATTTCGAATTTATACATATCTTAATTGTGTTTACATTCAATCTTATATACACCAATGTCCTGTTGTAGCTTTTCCCCCAGGCTTTAATTTCCCCTCAATATTCAACTTAACATTTGGTATGTTACAGTTTCTAAGCTTTAGGTAACTAGAGTTTCCCTTATCTCAACTTCTACATTTCCCCCTTTTTATAACAAAATCTAATATTCTAAATATACATCTTACCTATTTGCATATAATCTTATTCTATTTTAAAAATTCTCTTTTTTTCCACCATATTAAACCAAAAATCTATTAATCTTATTACACATCTTACCTATTCAGTTATAATATTACTTTATTTTCTAAAAAAAAATCTATATTTGACCATCTTCAACCTTCTAATCAATAGTATAAAATCACCCTAATAAATCAAAACCCTAGTTTCTTTCAGCCTTACTCTGGTTTTGTTCCTTTGCCAACTAACCATCCATGTCAATACTTTTAATTCATCAAACAGTTCTCCCTCTATTATTGTGTGTATTATTTGAGTTAAGAAAAACTATTTAATTACAATTTTGGGGGGAAGAACTAGCCCCATTATATTTCTTTGATCGCCTCCCCACTATTCAAGTTTCTCACAGTTGTCCTAATAAGTTTATCTTCCATTCAGTCTGTTCTTCTTCCTTTTCCTCAAGTTTCTTCTGATTTATGAAAAAAATCTTTTCCATTTTCAATGTTGTCACTCTCTTTTCTAATTTCCCCATTGCTGGATCTGTTGGTCAGTTGGGTCCTCTATTTTAATATTTAGTTGTTCCATTTCTCCTGTTGCTTTCTGCATTGTTGGGTCTTCGGTTGTAGTCAAATCTGGGTCTGTATATTTAAGCTGGCATCTTGTTCCTTTATGTTGCCTCTCATTTTGTTACATGCTGAAAGAATGGTTTCATGTATTGATTTCAACATAGAAAGGATTTTTTCCTGATCTTGATCCATATTGTCTTGATAATGTATTAAATTAAGGATTTTAAAATCAAATGTTGAAAGTAGTTTTTGTAGCTAGATGTGTGACATCTATTTCACGTGTTGCAAATAGTCTTATAGTGAAAATTGTTTGGCAGGTAAGAATTTATAGTCCAAAGTATTCCATCATCTCATGTACTAACAAAGACTTCTCATGTAAAGAAATAGGAAAACAGTTTCCCACATATAATTCTGAAAGTCAATAAAGATTTATCTTCATAGTTCAAACAGGCCCAATAAACCGCCTTGCAGTTCCTTCTTTACAGCTGTGTTTCTCACAGGTGGTATGTCAAGGTCAAGAGGGTTTTTTCTAATTTCTGGGCTTCCAGCCAAGTCTCTTTTAGTCAATAACAAATTGTAATAACATATTTCACTACAAGATGTCACCAATGCCATTTAAAACTTTTTAAATTCCGAGTTTTAATAATAGTTTTTCAAGATTTGTTTCTTTTCTTTTTAAATAAAAGCCAATATCTCCAGTAAGAATAGGAAAACTTTTAGTTTCCAAATTTCAAAGGTATATGCATCCAATTAAATTAGAACTGTTCTTTTAATTGCTCTTTTCCCCTAGGTAGTCAATCGTTGTTGTTCTTAGAGGGTGGGGTAAGAATTCCCTTCCCTCTCTTCTCATAGGGGGAGAAATACTTTGGGCAGCTTTTGCAGGAAAAATATTTAAAGTCTTAAAGAGAAGATCAGATCTCACCCAGTTTCATCTGCATTGCTTTAAAGGTGCTTGGTTGTAATTTTGGCTTTGGCTGTCAGCAGCTTAATGACGAGCCATATTGCTATGGCTGGTCTTTTCCCCACCGGTTTGGAAAACTGCCCCAGATCAAGCGGAAGGGCTGTAGCCCTTCCGGAATCAAGCGGGGGTCCTCTCCTTGCTCATCGCCCCTACTGGGCGACTTTTGACCCTTTCCAGAGTCCCCCAGCGGGATAAAACTGGACGCTGAAGAGCGAGCTCGCCTCCATGTGTCCACCAGCACCGCGATAGCAAACCGGAAGCCTAGTTTTTATTTATTTTATTAATCAAATTTGTACAGCTGCCCATCTCATCAAAAGCGACTTTGAGTGGGCACAACAATCAGATAAAACTATAAATATAAAAACAACAGATATAAAAATATAGAAAACTACATTAAAAATAAATAATATAGAAAATAAATCTTTTTTCTGCAGGAGAAAAATAAAGATTTATAACTATTAGTATTAATGTTTAAACTGTCTCCGTCCTGTCCCCCCAATTTCAAAATGTTCAGTTGTTCAGTTTTTCTTTAATTTTGTCTTCCATATTAGCTTCTTCCAAAAACACAACATTAATGCCAATTATTTTGTATTCCTCGCAGTGTCCCAAAGGTCTCTATGATCTCTTCCTATTTTTGTTCTAATATTCAGTTTTTGCAAACTATTTTTTGTTTCTAACATCTGTAAATTGTTTCATTTTTGTGAGTCAAAACTTTTAGGTAAAGAATAGCTACACCAAATCTCATTTTGCACATTAACTAGCTTTTTTCTTATTCTTTAAATTAGTACATGAAGATATATATGTTATTAATTATCATCCTGATTCTATCAAGTTTCTTTAGCACTGTACAGCTTGATTATTTTTGCAAGTAATGCTTTGTAATCAGGCCTATTTTCATTCTCAGTGGTATATTCTGATACCCCTTGCTTCCCTTTTTCTGCTATTCTTTTTATGCAGCATTCTTCATGTCTATTTTTAATCTAACCTAAGTTTCAAAAGTTTTAATTCTTCAGGGGCTTCTAGCAAATGTTAAAGCAATTTAAATAAAACATAAAATGAAATACATGTTTAAAAATTAAACAAAATTCTTTAGTCTGAAATATTAAATACCCAGAGGTTTCTACTATGCTATACCAGCGTACTCAGTGTAAATTGGATTTTCATCATATTTTAATATTTTTGGAGTTCATCTCACCAAATAACCCTACTCTGTATCATGGGTATAGGATATCAGTAATAAATATTTAATGAAGATATGCAACTTTTTACTCCCCCTTTCTTTTCAAACAAAAAATAATACAAGTAAAATTACACAAGTATACCTAGCTATCTTACAATGAAAGAGTTATCTCAGGTTCCAGTTGCAAAAGCTTTTCTTAT